CGGGGTGTGAATGTTAGGTCCTAGAGTAAGGTGCACTGCTCTGTATGAATGGATGAATGACATGTAGTATGTAAAGCTTTGAGGGGTCGTAAAGACTGGATAAAGCGCTATATAGGTACAGTCCATGTACCTCTGTATTTACTGAGAGGATCGACTGGAGCACAAAGGATGCTTCAGTCTGACTTTATGGAATCGAGGGATCCTGATTAGAAGTTTTGCCACGAGATAACAGAACGTTTTGAATAACCCCTCAGTGTGTTGTTGTGTGTGCTGCAGGTGTACAGCAGCATGGAGCACCTGTCTCAGCTGGAGCAGAAACACCCCGGGGTGACGCTCCGAGAACACAAAGTTCCCCGAGAGGACCGAGTGGCCAAGAGAGAGAGTCTGGGCAGCCTGACGCTGCGAGACAAGAGCTGGAGGACCGGCTCCCCGGAGATGTGAGTGCAGACACACGCTGTCACATGGAGAGGAAATGAGTCTGAGAAAGACTCCAGAAAAGATGTTTTTGCTCTTCTCAAAAGAGTTTTTACGAGAAGTGAGAGTGTCTCAATTCCTCTGCTTTTTTTATTACATTTGCTGTTTTCAGTGCGTTCCAATGCAAAGTATTGCAAAATGCATTATGAGTATGCGGACGGTGGAGTCGTAACACTCTAACGGTACGTCCACACGGTTCCGTCGCGTTGAAGCTTGCCGGTGGGCGTGTCTGGTGCGCGACCAACAACCAATCACATGAATCTCCCGCCCCGGACACAGAAGCACGCGGTTTGATTGGCTAAAGCTTGTACTGGCATATGATTTGATTGGCTGACGCTTCCGTCGACGCTTGAAAAGTTGAACTTTTCTCAACTTTCGAAGCGAGCAACGGAGGCAAAGCCACGGAACCACAATGCAGTTCGGCGAAGCGTGACGTCACCCCATTCAAAGTGAATGGGAAGCGTCTTCGTTGAAGCACGAGACGGAACCTTGTGGACGTACCGTAAAATAGTCAAAAACGACCGCCATCTTGGCTATGCTATAAATTGTGGGACCAGCCCAATACAAGTATAATATATAGTTTTAATTGTTTCTATGTTAAATACACGTACCACTATACTCATGTCAAAGAGAAGCTACCATTTATTTATCGAGTTAATTGAGCAATTTCTGTCTATCCTGATAGATGTCTTTAATATCAAATACTTATACCTAAGTACGTCTGTTTTTCTCAGGAAGCATCTATCCTATCAAAGTATTTCTACAGTTTGGTATTAGTACTGTAATCTGAATACTTTCTCCACCTTGTGTTCCCCAGGAAGCGTCTGTCCTGCTCCGAGTCGTCCTTCTATGAGAGCGACTCCAGCCCCCCCTCAGGGGCTCGGAGGCGTTTCTCCGCTCTGATGGACTCCCACCGCCTGGCCTCGCCTCTGGAGACGGACTCTGAGCTGCCGCCGCCCAGCAGACTCTCTCTGAAGAACAGAGGGGCCTCTCTGGAGGGAGACCTGAGATCAGCCCTTAAAGACAGCAACGGGGTCACAGCGGCTGTCGGTGGGTGATGGAGATGTTTTTGTTTGTTTTTATGAGTGGGCATGTAATATTATTTGATGACAACCATTTTTCATATAGGTTCATTCTTTTTGCATTGTTTGTTTTTTTGGAGGATGGGAAATTCTGTCGTGTTGACATTTTGAATTGAGTGTATTCAAACATCTACATCTCAGTAAAAGTAAAATCACACCCCTAATAAAATACTTCATGTCAGATCAAGATTGAAGTTTCAAACCTGTATTTGGGAGACCTGAGATCAGTTCTTAGGATGTGAAACTTTCATGTTAAAATTCTGAATGTAGAGTATTCAAACCCATCACGATATAATATCGAGAAAGGAGGAGGCTCCTGGTGTGATGCGATCATGTCAGATCAGGTTGGAAGTTTTAAAACTGTATTCGATCACATTTTATATCAAGAGTGATTCATCGTTGGGTTTTATTTCTCACTGTACCTCTCAGATAAGGTTCTGAGACCTGCTGATGCTCCGCTGCCTCTCCCAGGCAGTAATGCTCCTGCTCTGGGTCTCCCGGACCCTCAGGGGCCTCGAGGGGCCGCGACTGACCTGGTGCTGAGGAGGGTCCGACACCACCAGCTCTCTGAGGGAGAGAAAAACAGCTCACGACCGGGAGCTAAAGTCATCAAATCTGCTTCTGCTACGGCTCTGTCCGTCATCATTCCTGCAGGTTAGCAATACATATGACACGCTCTATTCAAATGACTCTTCGAATAACCCTGAACATTTTGCACATATTGTACAAACACTACCTCACTGCATTTACATTTTAAAATATTTTTTTACAAAACTGCAACTGCTTAGCACACTTTTATATTGTATTCTATTATAAATATATATTTGTAGTAGTAGATTGGTCTATTTTAGAGAATCCTAACTTATACTGTCTATTTAACAATGTGTAGTCTTTAGATAGTCTATCTACTGTTGATATGTATATACTGTATGAACTGTTTATTTTTTATTAGATTTTCTTACTATTTGTATTAGATTTTTAGTTCATGTGCAATCCTTATAACATATACTGTGACAAAAAATGAAATAAATCTAATCTGATCCAAATCAGCCAAATTGACTCCAAAAACACTTTTGTGTTGTACGTTGTTTGAAAGAAAATATTATTTGCGTTCAACTATATCTCTATAGTTTTGTTCTCACTATGTTAAGCCAATTATTTCACAAAGCATAATGACTGCTACCGAGCCTTGATAATAAGAAACATGCCATCAAAGTTTGCAGTCATAAAAAAAATGTATGTATTTTTTTTACAATGTATTCACTGTTGGAAAGCTTTGCAATTTTTTTTTGTATTGTGTTTGTTCTTTAAATATTAGGTAAAATATATCGGATAACATATGACTGCTACCGAGCCAGAATTATGATTAAAAGGCCTTCACAGTCAATTTAGCCAAAGTTATTTAAGGAGGGGACAGAATACCCCTTCCCTTTTTAGAAATAATGATCTAACCTGATCTCCCTCCTTTCTCTCTCCTCAGTGGAGCAACACGTCGCCTCCCCCTTAGCGAGCCCCATGTCTCCTCGCTCCCTCTCCTCAAACCCCTCCTCCCGAGACTCCTCCCCCAGCAGAGATTACTCCCCCATGGTGAACGTGCTGCACTCCCCCATCATCATCCACCGCGCGGGGAAGAAGTACGGCTTCACCCTGAGAGCCATCAGAGTTTACATGGGAGACAGCGACGTGTTCAGCGTGCATCACATGGTCTGGGTAAGAGAGGAGGAGGAGGAGCCATAATCAACTTTATTATATACAGCTAAATGTGTGAGGGAAGCAGGATTTGGGGAGGGCAGGCCGATGAAAAACAGGTTTATTAGAATGTAAAGTCACTTTTGGTCGGCTTTCAATTTGGAAAAAAGCAGGAGGAATGCTAGCTTGACTCAGAAAAATATTCAGATAGATGCAGAGTGAGTGCGCTGGTGGACTTTAAGATGCAGAGCTTTGAAACACAGTGTTGTAACTAGGGCTGTCAGTCGATTAAAATAGTTAATCGCGATCAATCTTAAATTAATCGCACATTTTTTATCTGTTCTAAATGTACCTTAGAGGGATATTTTTCAAGTTTTGAATACTCTTATCATCATATGAGTGGACAAATATGCTTTATGCAAATGTTTGTTTATTATCATTTGAACAATGACAAATATTCTCATGAATATTAAACACAACAACCTCTGAACATTAAAGTTTGCTGCTCGTAGACGTGTCCAGGCGTCTCCCCCGCACACTTTCAAGTATGGTCTGCCGCAAGTGGGCGGCAGGAGCGGGGCTGTCGGCATCAGCAGTTTGCTTCGATTGTATAGATGGTATTTTAAAGTTGATGCGCTCTGAAACTACGGGGCGGACGAGGACAAAAAATGCACATGCATTAAAATAATTAGTGCCGTTAAAAAAATGTAACGCTACTTTTAGCATTAACGCGTTATTAACGCGTTAACTTGACAGCCCTAGTTGTAATTTATGGCTGAGCAGAAGCCTGTATGATTTATAAAAAACTGAGCGGACCGAGTATAA